ATATAAGATTCTTATCAGAATCTTATAGAAATCTTATCAGTTTCTTATATAAGATTCTTATACATAAATTACGCATTTCCATCGACTGCCTTATAAGATTCTTGCAGATATTCTGTAAGATTCCTATGGGAATCTTATATAAGATTTTATCTCTTGGGTCATGGGATTTCATAGATGAATTCAAACCGAGAAGTTATTGTGCGTTTTTTCCAAGGAAGAAGACAATCTGATATTGCCCGCTTGCTGAATATGTCGAGGCAGCTCGTCTCTAAAGCTATCAAAGGTTAACAGGAGACAGGGAGCAACAATGACGGGCTTCCTGCATTTTGTAGGACTTTTTTGGCTTGCCAAAAAAGTGGAACAGAAAAATTTGTTCCTGTTTTGTGATCCACCGTGCGTTTTTGACATTTTTTGTAGCATTTTTCCAGCTAGAATTGAGCTACAAAATGATGTAGAAGAGAGCTAACGAAAAAATTTAAAGTGTATCTGAAAGAGCAGCGAAAATGCTACAAAAAATGTCAAATGCGAAAATTTGACGAAATGTTTTTTATAAAACTTTTCAGAGCGGTTAGAATACACAAAAAAAGTGTAAGATGAAATGTACTGCAGGAATACATTGATATAGTGTAACTGTAAGCTAGTAGTGGACTGGCGGAGTGGGTGGGTGTGGGGGCAGCGATGAGAGTGATTCGCTTAATAAGCTTTTTCAAGCAAAAGTATGAAAAGATGCTGCTGCCACATCTTTGTAGACAAATCGATCTGACACTTTTTTGGTGTATTCCCACCGCCCTCAAACTTTGCGTTTTTAATTTTGTCAACGTAATTTTTAGGCACCCTATATTGTTCAGATCCAAATGATCCATTAGGGAAAAGACGTTTGCTGCCAGAGGAGATTCACAAAATTCATTCTGATGGCACCACTTTCACTTCGATATATACAAACAGTATCGTAACAACATTAAAATGTAAGAACGATAATACAGTAACAAGTGTAACATTTATCAGGAATAATAAAAAGTAGGTTTTGTTAAATATTGATTGTACTATTACCAATATTGGCTATCAACCCGATCGTACTTTATATACAAATTTAAGTGTCCATGAATGTTATAAAACGAAAGGACCAATGAACTTAGCTACAAAATTATTATTTGGCGGTACTGAAACAACAGATTGTTTGAAGTAAGTCGTATCTATGGATCAGTTATTTCAGCAACATTATTGTTTTTAATTTTTGATTAATAAATGCTAGTGAATGTTGAAAATAGTATGCTAATAATGAATAATACAATTAGAAGGCTTAAACAAATCAGTTTCCTTTTAATAAGTTGAAATAGAGATTTCTCTGCTGGTGTTTCTTCTTCTTTATTTGTTCCGTAGGATGTCAATGTAGTTGATGGAACAGCAGCAGCAGTGTGAGTTGCATATGATTGCCAGTCGAAACGTAGAAGTAAAATAAAAAGTGATATATTTATAAAACATTCAGCACAGAACAAACCAATCCAATAACCATAAATATCAATTTTGGCAACATAAATAAGTATTACTGCCAATGGTAGACAGATCAGAAAGAATCCAATTGATGTAATAATTGCACCCTTCACTTGTTGACCAGAAGCTTTAATCATTCCATCCAACTGTATTGTCTGATAACTATCTGTTATTTGGACTATAGCTGAAAAGATGAATGTCTTTTGAACAATATTCAAAAATGATTTTTCTGTGTGCTGATAACTCGGTGAACTATACAAAATCCGAAAACATTAGACATTGATTCCTTATGATAGTCTGTAAAAGCCAAATTACTCATTTTCTTCCTAATCTGATTCATTTTTCTATGCCAAAAAGAAGTTTTCCAAACTGCGACCTATTTACTGAATTTCTGTTTTACTTTATAGTTGTAATGAAAATCAATTCTATATTCGGAATCTCTACCAAGCTGTCATACACGTTTTCACAATACTTATAGTTTTGGTCTGAACATCAAAAATGTTTTTGAAAATAAATATTTCACTCTGCTCGGAATTCGATCATAAGCGTTTTCGTTTTACCTAAAATCCTGCATTAACTACGAAAATTGCAAAACATCAGTCCGCTTTGAACTAAAAAAACACCGTGTAACTCAAGAAGCACGAGGCTTCAAGATCTCCTGGCCATATAACTCCAAGCGCTCAACAACAAAAAGTTTTGCTAAATCAGTCTCATAGTTTTGAGACAGTATCTTTGAATTAATTGAACAATTACGACCTTGGACGACAACAGGCGAAGGTTCTGAGAAAAAGAATGGCAGAGGAGACCTAGGCCAAAATTTTAGTTTAAAATAAAAACGCTGTTCGGACAATTCGATGTAGTGTTCTAAGTTAACTAGAAGTATCAAACTATTTGCAAATCACTGAGTCATCCTGTGGGGCTAGTATATGGAGAATTTGGCTAAAACCAGCGCAGACAGCAGCGACCCATCAACAAAATTTTGCATAGAGAACGATCGATGTAGTCTAAGAGCCATTTCACATAAGCGGCGACTACGTTACATAGAACACTGCTCAATCGTATCTCACAGAACTCGTTCGAACCAGTCATAAAAGAAAATATAGACATTTCTGAGTAAAATGGTGCTTTCCGTTTGAAAAAATATTGCTGGGTTGCTAAGAAACGAGCATTTTAAAATTTCAATTTACTTTTTTTCAATTTTTCTTCAATTTACAACAAACCCAACTTCTGGGAATGATTTCGTTCTCATACAGTGACCTGTATCCGGTACGTCCTAAACTCATATTTTGTCTATTTTGGCGCCATACTGTATCCAAACAAAACATTTTCAGAAACTTTTGAAAACACCATTAGATAGAGGATCTCGAATACTACAACACCTGAACATGTGAGCTTCTAATTCGGTTTTTCTCAAATAAAAACTGCATCGAAAGTAGCGACTTTGGCTGAAAATGTCAGTTTTCAAAATCGATTTTCTCCCATGGCATAAGACGAATTTTGGAAATATTTGGTGCATGCGTAGTTCCAACCTTGATCTATCAATAGATGAAAAAATTTCGGTGGGCAACGTTAAGCTCACTGAAAACCCCTAGTGCCCCCGACAGTAGGTATCACGTAGAAATCTAGTTTCCAAAACTGAAAACCGCAGGTCTCTATCTATCTTCTACCAAAGTTATTCAAAAAGTAACTGATGGGCTTGTATTTTGGGACGGATAGTAGTATCGGTTTTCACTCTGTTATGTTGGATTTTGTTCTGAAAACTAACATTGTCACGAGATTCAGCATAGTCGATAACCTATCTTTTCGTTCGTTTCTGACAGTCCCAAACCTAACTGCACAGGAGTGCTAAGGCTTCAGGAAAACATCCATAGCTGCCGGACCATGGATTTCCAAGATGTCGCTTGGATCTAGTTTTGTAGAGGACACTTCGGACTATATATTCACGTAAAACAATTGGTAGATTTCTATGCCAACTTTCAGAGAACTGAACTGGTTTTCCAAAGATCTCCTGAAAAACCGGTCTTTGAAATTCTTTTCAAATTCGTTTTTGGTTATGAAAACATAGCTTCAGGCCTTGGCTAGTGAATGATGAAAAACGCAAGTCTCTATCTTTTATTCCTTTTGAGTTATTCAAAAAATAACCACCAGCCTTGTATTTTGGAACGGATAGCAGTCTATAGCGAAAATTATTTTTTAATACAAGTGTTTTTTTGCAGCACAAATTGCTGAACAGCTGGCTGAATGACACATTATTCGATTCAGTTTCTGACGCTAATCAGGAATATGGACTTGGTTTCGCTTTAAAATGCTTTCTTCAAGCCAGAAAATGCATGAAGAAAAATTCAAAAAAAAGTAAATTGAAATTTTAAAATGCTCGTTTCTCAGCAACCCGGCAATATTTTTTCAAACGAAAAGCACCATTTTACTCATAAATGTCTATATTTTCTTTTATGACTGGTTCGAACGAGTTCTGTGAGATACGATTGAGCAGTGTTCTATGTAACGTAGTCGCCGCTTACGTGAAATGGCTCCTAAGTACTTTTCTGAAGATCTGTCTTCGAAATTTAATTCTTGTTGTTAAAAAATTACATTAGTTTTAAAACTTGTCCAATGACTAATTTTGCTTCAAATTGTTGTAGACACTTTTAAAGACCCTCTTGTAGGTCTTTTGCTAAATTTGATACAGAAATGTTTTGCTTCACAAAAGTCAGATGGCATCAAGATGGCTAAATATAGCTTGGTCGGAAGCCTAGGATGTTTAGGAAAACATTTCAAATGAAAGCCTTAAACTTTCTTATCTTTTGAAGTTTTTAAGTTGAAACATGCGTAATAGGGAAAAAATGTAGCATTTTGTTCCATTTAATGAGCAAGTGCTATTAAATTATGATTCGAAACTTTAACTATGGGTTCAGGGAGGCATCGGTATGCACCGGTTATAACCGACAGATTTCACCTTTTTTTGCAACATATTGCATGAAAAGTACGTATATTAAAATTTTTTCAGCAACTGGATTTTTAAAGTAAACATTGTTCTGCTATGGCGGAAGCCTTCATGTTTTCTGTTTCTGTCGCATTTTCGACAAAGGGCCTTAATCGATGTAAGAATGTTTTTTTTATAAGCACTTGATACAAGAAGAAGAATACTTCCATAGTTCATCTTGTAGAAAAATGTTTGCTCTACAAAATGGCAGTTGTTAGAAAATTATTAGAGAATCAATTTTCGTTGAAAAAAACTTTTTTCAGAAAACGTACACAAGTTCAATCGGTTATGATCGGCGCATGCCTGGTCAAGACTATGCTGATAGAGCTGTTTTTATTCAAAAGTACTGAGAAGTTTACAGATCTTTTCATGTTATGGCTTTCTTATTGTAGTATGGCAAAGAAAACAATTTGTTCAGGCTAGTTTGAAGCCTATTTACTTACCGGCAACTAATAACAATTTTTTTGTAAACGATAGCGTCGACGCTGACCCCTTTGCTGTTTCTGATATAAAAAGCAATGGAATCCAATTATAGAGCGAAAGTATAAATATCATATTTACTAGTACTGGCAGTATCGTGGCAATATATATGAAATTCTTTAGTTGTTTAGCTTTTGAAGGTTGATTTGCGCCAATATATTGTCCTATACGTATATTTACACTTGCTGCACAAGCATACGAATTCAAATACAACAGGCATTCTGTTCGGTAAGCAATTGTTTGGGCTGTTAATGATTGTTCACTGATTGTAGCTGACAAAAATATCGAAAATTCTAATAACCAATAATATAACGTTATCATGAATATGCCACCTATATTTAAACGTATATAACTTTCCCATTTCATCAGACACTCTCTTGTTATCGGACTCCATGTAAGTTCATAAATATTAGAATAAAATCGAATATAAACAAACGCTAGTATTGACATTGTTAAATAGCTAATGGCAATTGCAATACCAGGTGTATGAATACCAAGGTGTAACTGATATAGCAGACTACAAGAGACATATAGCATTGAGGTCTATCACGAAATTCGAAATCCACCTCATTAAGATGGTAAAATAAAGCTGAAAATTCGTCACACGAAACACGTTTTCACCACTATATCGAGATCATAGATCAAAATCTGAACGAAAGATATGCGTTCGAATATCCTTACTGCCTCATCATTTACAGAGCGGAGTAACTTTCATTAGTTCAGCTTTTCTAGGTCGGCCAACTTTATACAGACTTTTTTGTTTTTCAACCTTTTTACTAAATTTCAACTCATGTTCTAATCAAAAATCCTATTCCCAACGCTCCCATTAATTATTTCCCCTATCCGCAATCAACGGAGATCTGTTGCTCTTGAGGACAAAGTTGCTAAAGAGTTTCCTGACAAATCCTTCAGATACAAACCACATCACCAGAATAAGTTTTCAAGGGTATCGTTGATTCTCTCATTGATTATACAATGAGATTTTCCAAAGGCTATAACATGTGCAGTTTAAAAACCGTACGGAACATATTTTATTTGAGCAATTTTCCAGCGTTTTCGCAAACTTAAAGCAAGTGACCTGTCTAACTAAACACTTCAAAAATTTTTGAAAAGCGAGTGATTTTATTCATCGCTATGCCAAAATAACTCACGAAAGTTTTATGAAGTGAATCGTTTTAGAGAAAAGTGCTTGTCCTGGAGTTCTAGGCGGCCAAAAAGCTCGATAATGTTAGCCGTTCGATATTTGAAACTTTTTATGTAGAACTGAAATCCCTTCCAAAAAAAATGGACATAGGTACTTCTGAAAGAAAACATTTCCTACCAATAATGTAAGAGAACGTTGACACAACTTCCAATGAGATTAATAATAACCAATGGATATGTAACGCCGGTACTTGAAATATATTTTTGTAAAGTAATTGATAAGCATTCGCAAGGTACTACTAACATATAAGTTTTTAAATATTTATCAGCCAATAAAACAACTCGATAATCTTTTTCAATAAATTTCAAAAAGCCTCGACTAATATTTAGCATCAATATCCATGTAATAAAAGTACCGTAGATAAGTATCAATAATGTACGTTGAATAACTAAACCCTTTAATGAATGACAAACGAGAAATAAGACACGACGTGAAAAACAGTCAAACACAACTGACATTTAATAGTAACGAGTGGCTAATAATAGTGGTAGTATCTTCAATTTTTCTCCACTTTCTTATAATTAATCGAGCAAATATTTCCACCAAAATATACCCAAGGAGAAAAAAAATATCGACTATCGGGCGATCTAGCTAGCTAACACGATACATTACTAGATATAGCTAGCTAGTCCAATATACTACCCGATATAGCTAGCTAGCCCAATATGTTACTCGATATATCGACGCTCGGATTACTCACCTTTTTGTTTTGCAG